AGTAACAGATAATGTTAAAATAATACGCCGTCGGGACAATGAAGATCGCCTTCGGGTAGCTCTTTGGACGGGAACGGGAGTGTACCGTATATACCTTGTAGCGGTTCTTAAACTCGCTCCTGCCGGAGTTAATTTCGCGGCATTAACAGTCGAAAGAGTGCGAACAAAAGGGCTCCGAGGGTAGAGAAGACAGATAAGGGAAGGAAGGAGGCTACGCAGGAAATATGAACACACTCATAATGTAGCCGCCTCCACCACCGCGACCGCGGCCGTAACCACCGCTCCGAGCGAACAGTGATTCTCCCCCGCGCCGCCGCTCCCAACCCTCGCGCCCCGCCGCTCCCGTTTCCGGTACCGTGTTTTTAATCTGATTTTCGAACCGACCACCGCCAGCTTTCTCCGCTATCGTTAACAACGGATTTCGGATTCCAGTTTGTTCCGATACGCTCGCACGCTTTCGGGTCTCGAAATCATTCGACATTTTTTTTCCTGCACGATATTCTTCCACGAACATCGATTCCGCTTGATATCTACGCTGTTTCCCGCGTTGTTGACCCATGGAAATATTCCAGAGATCACGTCCCTCTCGCAATGAGAACCACGCGAAAGAGAAAAACGCGTCGCTACTCTCGATACTGGGGGACGCGCCAGTTCGATAATAACTTGAAACCAGTCAAAGATGTGGGACAATTTCGAGACTGATATTACCGGGATTTAAAATATTTTTAAAGGCTTTTTACTTCCGCCAACAGTTTCAGCTAATTAATAAGGCAGAATGCTGGGTCGACCGAGCTTCCGTCCCTCGATTTCTGGTTCCGGGTCCACCCCCAAAAGTTTCCCAATAGTCGGTGTAACGCGGAAGTAAACGACAGTGGATACGGTTTGTGGAGGCGTCGCGGCTCACGCACCGATTTCGATAAATCATCTCGAGGGCGGCGTTAACGTTCGCTGGCACTTTAAAAGCATCGCGCGTGTCAGGTTGAAACGCGAAGAAGGCCTCGTCGCGTCGCGCGCGCGGTCGTTTTAAGGGTAGCTTCGAAGTAAGGGGCGGGGGGTAGAACAGCGGCAGGGGGCAACAGAAGGAAGAACGGGAACGGCAGCCCGGTGGTTTTAGCGACGCGGAGGACAGCGGGGTGGTGAGGGAGAGAAGAGAAGGCGAGGGGGCTCGGTACGTTTTCGACGTACAAAAAGTAATTATGGGATGGTTTCCGGTAATCATATCTAGAGCGCATTGAACGAGCGCATTGTTCGGCCACCCCTTCACCGATATGCACTTGTACGCGGCGCCAACCCCCCTTGCTCCCTTCCTTCCATTCCCAGTCCTCGGCTCCCCGGTCCCACTTCTACCCCCCTCGTCCGACGACCACGCTACTAGGTTTACCACCCTCGACTCCTCCTCGCGTTATGTACGCCACAGATTCGCCGACCATCCTGTAAACCCGACACGACCATTAGGCGCTCTCGTTCTCGCTGTCACGCGCTCCCTCTTACTTCAGGGCCCTCCTCGTTCTTCGAGCGATCTCTGCTGCGCAAGAAGAACGATAGACCTTCGGGTCACCAATTTCAACCAAACTTTCTACACCTACGCTCGATTTAAAAATATCCAAGCATCGCTTATGTACCTTTCGAACCTACGCTACTGCATGCCCGCAAGAATTACGTTTCCTGCGATGAATAAAACTTTTTTCCAGGGGGTTGTTATCCTTTGAACGTAATCTATCCATACGACGCGACGCGTATTAATTAGCCTGCCGTTCATGAGCCATTACACATACGCGCAAGCATTATATTCGTAACTAGTACTGCCCGCTATCTCTTCCCTGCCATCTCTATTGTAATTGTTTCTCCTGCCACCAGAGCGGTCTTCGGAGTAAATAAATAAATAGCCGTGCACTCAGACGATAATAACGATATTAATGAATTAAAAAACGTGCGAATAAATTTACGATGGTAATTGTACGTGATAGAGAAGATAGCGATACAATTAGTATATCGAAGCCAGAAATACGTTCGCGTGATCGCGTAGAATACTAACTATAACGATGGGAAAAATTAAAATTAGCTTGAAAGCGCAGACATCGTCGTCGTTCGTTTCGCGAAAAGTGTTCGACGTCCGGGGACACGACGATCGAAGAATTCGAAAATAGATCGCGGCTACTCGGTCGTACGACGAGCCGAATCATGCGTGGCATCCGGGCGCAGGTGAAGGCAGCCTAAATTTGACCCTCGACGTCCACGGTGACTTTTACCGGTTGGATCGGTCAAAGGGCGCGTTATCGTTGCCAGAACGCGAACGTCGCTTATCTGTTCTCGTTCTTGCCACGTATGGGGCGTTCCGGAAAAAAGGGTCCCAGACTGTAGGACCGTGCAGCAAAGGAGAAGGTACGAATACGAGATAGGGTAGTAACACGAGACGCTAACATTTTGGACACTGAAACGCACAGCTGCAGAAACTTTGGGAAATTACGTGCTGTAATCTGGGGTTGAACGAATTCTGGAAGTAACCGTTACGAAGAATCCAACAGTCGGAAATATAATAAGCTAACCTACCCAGATACCAACTAATAATCGTAATGGAAGTAAAAAGTAGGTATTTATGGCTGTTCCACTTAACAGCGACGAAGAATATGGTGGCGCAGATAAAGTACATACGCGTCAATGGCGAAAAAGATTAAAAGCGTAGCTACGTAAGGAAGCGATGGGTACCGATAATAAAACCCGTAATAACTTCTTCGAGAAGTTCGTAAAAGTCCGAAGACATTATAACTCGTACGTCAATCTACGAGAGAGTCCAATAATAAATACTTGTTTCATAGTAAGCAATTTTCTCGATCGTCGATCGGGGTACTAACTCGAACGCTGTTGTGATAGCATCGGCGCACCGACGTTACGATGTCCCGAGAAAATAACGATAGAAGTCATCGTTTATTCCCGTACGAGTAATAACAATGTTCTAAAAGCGGCTAACAATATTCGTGACTGAGGGGTCATCTTTCCGGCGATACCATCGTACACCAAGCACCACAAACACAATGTCTGAGACATTTTAGGATTCCCGACGCATTCAAATTTCTATACTCGGCGTACGTTTCGCTGCATCTCGAATATGCATCACCGATATCGAATCTATTGGAAATCACTGCCCAACGATGGACGAATTAAAATAGACAACCTTCCGTACGGGAAAACGGTTTACGTGCAGAATATATTGGGCTTGTAACTTGCTTTTTAAATGTATAAAAATGGAAATTGCTACATAACGATCGTTTGAAGCCTATTATTTATTACTCTCAATCACTCTTGCAGGTTCACTAACTCCCTATCATTTGCATTCTCATTTCAATTCCCAAATTTTGTCGTCTGCTCGCATCGAAGTAATTTTCCCGTCGACTACAGATAAATATTATTATTTATTTAACAATTACGTGGACGCAAACGAGCAATATTACGAGCCGTTAACGTTACCGTTGTTACATGAGCGAGATCACGGCGTTGGATTCGGCGGTCGCATAAGTTGAACTTGTCTCGGAACGGAACGCTCAAAGGGAGAGAATGTGTGAGATAGTACGAAAGGGGGAGAGCAGAGGGCAAAAGCGAAAGAGCACTAGAGCACGGAAGCGCAAAGGTGCAGAAGTGCAGAGGTGCAGAGGTGCAGGCCTGCGACCCGACTGACCCTGCGTCGACGGCCCGGTCGTCTTCGAGGCTGTCGGCTCACCCTACTCCGCGGCCGCAGCCACCCTTACCCTCACCCTTAGCCCCGGGGGTGGATGAAGCCGGGCCGGCCCATTTTTCGCGCCCCACTTGACTCCTCGTCCCCATTGGTTGCCGCGCCCTCGCCCCGTGACCTCTCTTCCCACGCCGTTTCCCGGCCAGCGTCGCCTTCCGCCTAGGATCCTAGTCCGTCCAAGTATCCAAGGAAACCGAAGAAAATCCGTGAAAGACGAGCAACGGCTCGTTTATCGTCTTAACGGTCCGCTCTACCGGGACGTTTCACCGCCGCCGTTTCTCCCGCGACCTTGACGAGAGCTACTCGTTCCTTTCGAGTAGCTTTTCCTTCTCCGGACCGATCGACGAGCTTACGATCGGTAAATCCTGGGACCAGGGCTCCATTTTCAGACTCGGAAGATTTCACGACTAGCGGAACGCTCAGGTGTTCCGGACGGAAACGAGTGGTGGGAAACGCGTTCGCGATCTTATTAAAAGTTGAAGACGTTCGAAGAAGTTCAGAAGTTCAAGAAACTCGAGACGATCGTTATGAAACAGAATTACTCGAGATACAATTTGGTTTGTAAGATGGGACGATGAGAATATTTTATCTTTGAAAGTCGAACGGGGGCATCGACTATCGATCAACGCCAACGATTCCAGGTCGGATATCGAACCGCGAGTCCGTCCGTCGACGACGAGGCTCGCTCCTATCGTTGTATTTCGTTCGTCGTTGTGACGAGCAGCGCGGCGCGTCCCTTTAAAAAGCTTTTACGAGATGGAAAAGTGTCGACAAAGACCAGAGTAATTCGGCCCGTCTACGAAACTGGTTCGATTTCGACGGGTGTATCAAAAAATCGGTACGCTCGGTAACCCTGGTCGAGGAAAAGAGTACGAAACGAGAGGCAGAGGACCACGCGTTTGACCGGTCGAGTAAGAGGAAGGGGTGGTAGCGGACGAAGGAGGAAGGGAGCGAGAGAGGGAGCAAGCAGCGAAAGGGAAGAAGGAGAAGGTTGGGAAGGGAAGGAGAGAGCGGTACGCTCTTCAGCGGCAAAGTGGTCGTGGAAGGACGCTCGACGTCGGTCGGAACGGGCAGGAGAGGGGTCGGAGGGCGCGAGGGTAGGGCAGGTCCGCAGCCAATGAGAGGCGCATCGGGGCGCGCCCGGGACTCGACCCCACCTTCGGTAGTCATGGCAACTGGCAAAACCCGCGAGAAACCCGCGAGAGAGTTCGAGGTGGTGGGGGGCAGGTCGGTGTCAGGGGTCGTCTTAGTCGGCAGTCGGTCTCTGGTCGGCCCCAAGAATAGTCGTATCGAGGCGGTAGTCGAGTATCACCTCGCTTCTCCTCCTCCTGCTTGTGCCGGCACGAGCACACTCGGGAACATAGAGGCACACGCGCAGCTTATCGACTGGGTAGCGCGCGCGCGCGCGCGTGTGTACCGCGCTCCTTCTCACTCACTCGCTCTCTCTCTCTCTCGCTCGCTCGCTCTTGCTCTCGCTCTCGCGCTCGCGCTTCCTCTCTCTCCTCCGTTGGTGCACCCGCGGGCTTCTCCTGCTCGCGCTCGCGCGACTCTTTTCCCTTTCCCCGTCCTCGTGTCCCTCCCCCGCCCGAGCGTCGCCCTACGGGCGGTCACCCACCCTCCGGTGTGCGTACCGCGCACACCCTCTCCTCCTTGTGTCTCGGTGGCTCGCGCCACCGCGCATCCACCCAGCGTCGATATACCACGATACCGCGGATACAACGTCTCGCGGGGATACGCGGCTGATCTACCGCGTGCGATTTTGATTCCGATCCCGATCTCGATCTCGATCTCGATCCCTCGCGGCGAGTCGCTCGACCGGGTCGAGCGGTACGGTGGTGTCACGAGGATTCCGCGTCTCCCGGTTTCACGGGGCGGGATATCGGTCTCGCGAGTGTCAAGTGCGGGAAAGCCAGTCGTCGCCGCGGTTGGCGCGTGTTCTCGGATCGGTCGGTCCCCCGACCGCCCGATCGGCCACAGTGATCGCGGGTGACTCGTCGTTGCGATCCAAGGGACGTGTTCGAGCGTCGATCGAGGCGCGTTTCCGGGTAGATCGGACGCACCGGCTGCGGCGGAACCTCTGTCGCTCGGAAGAGGAAGTGGGTGTCGCGCGTCGGCACGATGACGCTCGGGACGAGGATCCGGAATTCGCGCGGACACCAGCAGGCAGTGCGCGAGTGAGTGACGGAAGATAGTGTTTCTTCTTCGGACCGCGAGCGGGTTAGTGCGCGCGTTCGAGTGCGCGGCGAAGTAAAGAACGGAGGAAACGATATCCCAGGCGAGGCGGCGACTCGATCAGCGAAGGATCGCGGGGTGGCGCGACTTCGAGGAAGAAGCGAGCCAGCGTCCGCGAGACGGCCGCCGCTTCGGGGTGGTCGGTGGTCGCGATCGAGCAGCGGAAGCCGGCAGGGTGGTTCGAGGCGGGACAGGAGCCGCTGACGCCCTGGCGACTGCCGGGGTGGTTTACCCGGCCGCGACAGCGACGTTGTTCCCTGGCCGGGTGTCGACTGGACACCACCACCCCGAGTTCACCACCACGTTGGAGGTGGGGTTCCCGGCGCGCGGCACCACCGCCTCCATGGCGTTGGTAGCCGCGCCGCCCTCGTGGGCCTCGCGGGATCCCGGGGCCAGCCTGGCCGCGACCGGCGCGGCCGCAGCGGCAGCCGCAGCCGCAGCGGGGGCCGCAGCTGCAGCCGCCTCCGCCGCTGGTCCGGGCCCCATACAGATCGCTCCGCCACCCCCGATGCCCCCCGCGCACCTAACGCCCTCGCAAACGCCCGACGACATCACCTGTCTCGTGCCCGCAGGAGCGGTTCTCACGCCTAGGGACCCCTTGCCGCCCAGCACTACACCCGGAAGTCAAGCCAACAGCTCCCAATCCGGCAGCTCGCAGACCGACAAATCCCCCAACATCGAATGCGTCGTCTGCGGCGACAAGAGCAGCGGCAAACACTACGGACAGTTCACCTGCGAGGGTAAGTAACCCCTTTTCGACCCCAACGACCGCGATACCCGCAAAAATCTACGCTACTCTCCAAAAATTGCATTCCCACAAAATACTCTCGAGCGTCTCGCGGTGATCGATGCGTCGCGCTGGCGTTTCTCTGGTCCTCGAGCGACAGAGGAATCCTCGCGTCGATTCCTCGCAGGGGGGCGCGCGTCAAAGGAAGAGGAAGAATGGATCGTGTGGCGTGTCCTGGGTCCGGCGGCCGCGCGAAAAAACAAAGACTCGCCATTAATAACTCGGTGGGGTGTTCCCCGGAACGCTTACGCGTCTGTTACGAGCCTAATAACGATGTAATGGGGCCGTGGAATTGCGGTGGGCGAAACGAGGACAGAGTCGAAAAGGGAGAGTGGGAACGGGGAACAGAGAGGACGGTTTATTTCGTTCTTTGTCGCTAGTTCCGAGGCTCCAGGACAAGGGAAACTGGCGCGAGTCAATTTCGAAAGGTGTGTCGATCATTCCCAGAGCTTCTCTTTTCTGTGCTGGTATACCAAACGCTAGATACGCTGATCTATCGTGACAACGTCGATTCGTCGTTGTTTAAGTCATAGTCCGCGACGCAAGGTTCTCCAATGGATCCCACGATGCAAACTCCGTTGACGTTTTTTGCGGTAGATTCATGCTATCCATCGGTTGATTGCCCATCGAAACATTCTTGAATAGGATTTTCACCAAGATGTTCGCGCTATCCATCGACGTTCCGATCGGCGGTCCCTTTGAAGGTTCTCCGGACGGACAGTTGCTCGGCGGACAGCGTGAATCGGCTCTTAATTGAACCCGCTCGATCGCGGAACAAATCGCCGCGGCGATAGCTGAAAAACGCGTCTCTCTGGTATTTTTGCTTATCGATGACCGCGGAAACGCCGCGTCGACGGAAGAATCGACGCGGCGGACCGGCGTAACGAAGAAAAATGTCGCGGATGGTTTCGTGCCGGCGGATGGACAGAGGTTAATCGAAATCTATAGAGCTCTCTCTCGGAAATCAGGAGTTATACATCCTCCCACGGGCCTAGGCTGCCTCGTCTTCCTTCGTCTCCCTTCTTCGCAGGCGTTCCTCCCTATTATCCCGAATTACGCCTTATTGATACCGGATTGCCAGCTGTAATTTATATCTCGCGAGTGATTTAGCGCGTCCGAGCGTCTTGATTAACGACGCCGCGTTCGTTTCGATGCAATTTCTTCCACCGTCGAAAAAATTCCTAACGATCCTGATTCGACGATCGAATCGGGACTTTCCCCGACGCGTGATTTTGCCACTGATAACAGATCATCTCGAAGATCGCGACACCTGACCTGAAATTGGTACACGTGCCTGCGTTTATTACAGGCATCATTTATCCCCTATCGTATTTAATACATCTCCGTATGCACCGAGGATGTACGAAAATATTCGTAAAATTTTCTTCTTTTATTAAGCACGATCGACTTGACAGGTTGAGTACGGTGGCGAGTACCGGTGCCCGATACTTCCATATACGAACCACGCTATCTTATAACGTTTACCATAAATAAACTCCAATGTAAACTTTTTAATATCGTCGAATCTACTGTAAAATAATAAATATGCCATCAAAACGTCCCGACTTCTACCCATGATACTTTGGTAGACCGACGAGGAAAGAATTTGTTCGACGAGTGAAATTCTTATTCAGCGTTTACTATAGATCGTGGTCCGTTGGCGCGATACCGCGATTAAACGCGATATCGTTGTAAATTGCCCGTAGTTCGCTGAAACGCGACACCGGCCACGCGTCCGCTGAAAAACGAGATTTCCCGGTGTTCCGTGGTTCGAAAATAGCGCGATTCGCAAAAAAAATGCTCCCGTTGACGGGAAAAGGAAACGGATGGCCCGTTGGTCGAGCGCCGTGCAACGTTCGGTTCATTTTTTTCTTGAACGGACTCGCGAGTATCGGGGACGTTGCATTCTGCGATCTCTTCTGGTGCATGTAACAACCCCGGATATTTTTCCACGCTGATGGGTCGCCTTGGTCGTCCGACTACCGAACTCTCATTAAAATTCATGAGTACTCGCGTCTCTCTCTGTTGGTTCCCGGTCCCCTCACGAAAGCTACACTAGTTCGCGCTTTCGTATGCGCTACGTACGAACACGAAACGTCTACTCCCGTGCCGCGTAGAAGTTGCGCGCGTCCCGACGCATTTACATCGCGGATTGGCGCAAGACTGCTCGATCGCGGGAAAATATTTACGAGCGATTTTTCGGACAAACATTGCACCCGCGACAGCCGCGTCGTCTCGTCGCGACTGTTCGGAAGCTAAGTTCGCGTCTTTAAATTAACGGGGTGGGGAACCCTCCGGAGGAAAATAAAGGGTCGTTCGAATCGAGCGCCAAGTCTGTAAATTGAAATTAAGCGTCCTTTGAATTTTTCTTGCGCGTGTAACGACGAGGGGTTATTCTTGTTTATTCGATTGCAGCGCCAACGTTAAGTGTTATTCTTAATTTCGTGTTTCTTTCGAGCGAAAAATACGCAACGATCCGCTTTACGACGATTTCCGTTTTACGACTGCGGCCGTAACCGCGGGACTACGCCTGTATTTTATTTGCACTCTGTTGCGCCGCGGATAAAGTCGTTAAAGTCGATGAAGATTTTGTTAGCGACCGTGGCCCCATCGATTACGCGAAGTTAATCGAGATCCGAGAACGCGAATTCTTCCGGCACACGGAAGGTTAGGATGGTTTATATCTCGATAGGATCGAACGAACGTTGGTCACGCGCGGGGAGACAGAGATTGATCTACCCGTCGCTGTAATTCGCGAATCGAGTTGGAACTGCCGTCGCTCGTGAATCGGAGTCGTGTCCATTGACAAGGCTAATCGAGTCATCGCGATCGTATCGCCGCCGGATAAAAAGAACGCAATCCTGAATTAAGGGGAATGCGCCGCAGCGAGCAAGTAGAATGTGGTCCGTGCGGTGCAGACTAAGTTTTCCACGCCGAGGCTGATTACGACGTCTGACTCGCGATAAATACCACTTCTCGACTCGTTTGCACAGATATTTCAAGCGATTCTCGACTACCGCTATTCAATTTTTCTGGTAGTGGGTGAAAAAGTTTTAAGTGCAAAGTGATCGGTTTCGTTGGGTGACGGTGCACGTAACGTAATTGCGCGATGGTGGACGCTTTGTTCCTGGCAAAGATGGACCGATGACGTTAGCGTTTAAAACGCCGCTAAAAATAATACGCGATGGACAAGCGGTGGCATCTGGGAGTCCCTCTCCCTTGGCGCTTGTTAATTTCCAACAATTTGTGCCGGCTCGGACGGCACGAAGATTCGACGCGTGGAAACGTACGATTCGAGCGGGTTAAGAGTCCGTCTCTTAATTGAACGCTCGAGTTTCAACGGCGACTCCTCTCCCTGGTGTTCCAATTACAGTCGCGCTAACGATATTTACCATTGTTAAGCCGAGCCACTCTCTCGCTCGGGCGCTGTTAGCGGTACCGCGATAACGCGCTTAATCCGGCGATAATTTCTATTCGCGGTAATCTTAATTACTCGCCACCCCTTGATTTTCCCTTGGCGTCGATCCCGAGACAACCCGCTCGCTCCGCGCGACGACTTTCAACGTTCCGTTTTCCGTTTCGTTCCGTTTCGCCGCGCCCGTTCGCGGCAATTTCCTATCTAACCACGGACCCCGTCGTTTATTAACGGTCCTAACCGCTATAGAAATTTGATAATTTTCGTTGAGCAACTCGTTTGCATCTCGCTATTGTGTCGAGACTTCGGAGAATCGTTGAGATAATTTGGACCATCAATTTCCCACTCTCCGGGTCGATTGGAAGCTGTTGAAATAGATGCGCGGAAAGAACGGGACTCGCTTTCCCCGGAAGCCTCGCAGAGTATTAATTAACTTCGAACAGTACCAACGTATATTTACGCAATTTCTTAACCCAGACCTTCCACGTTGCGCGTCCAAACTGATACCAACTTCGAAATCTTGCGATGTCCGGTCCGCGAGCCGTGTCGCGTGGCGCGTGTCGCGCGAGTCGACGTTCCCGTCGACGAACAGAATCGTGTCCTTGCCGGAGGCCTCGTAAAGTCGTTATTCGAAGCTGGTACGCGGTAATGATTCAACCGTCGCTTTAATTATAGTCCCTTCGCGACGGTCTCGACAGCGTCTGACCGCAAAATCTCTCGGACGAAACCGCCGAGACGCAAGATACATATTTAGTCGGTGGGGTCCCGATTGCGAGAAAGTCGCTGTACCAGCTACGTATCGTACGCGTGTACGAACTTCTATTAACTCTGAACAATTTCCATCAGTCGTGAAACGACGGTAATCTTCTCCCTGGTGTCTTTTCTGTGTCAAGAACCGAAGACAAAGTCAGGATTGTCGATGATGGAAACGGATAAACAACGATACGGAAGTAGAATCCGTTTGGGTTTCTAAGAAACGTCGGTGATTTTTCGAAAGGGATGTTTAGTATTCTTTTCCCCCGGTGCAGTTGCAGTCTCGTAAGATGTTTACCTAGGCACGTGCGCGCGGCCGTGGCTTCGCTTTATTTTCAGTCCGCGCGTTCTGTCGCTCGTAAACCCGGCGTACCTCGGTTCGTTCCTCTACACCTGAATGCTTTTTACGAACTCGGCGTCGCGTTCGAGTCCCCGAGCTTGCCGCGAAAAATGAAAAGGAACCTCGACTGAAGCATCCTTTCTTTCCTCGTCGTTCAATGACTTCGATCCCCGACGTGGAATCCGAGGGAACTCGAAAACATTGAGCCACGTTTCGAGAACGCTAGTTCATTATGTTTTAGCGGCTCGTCCAGGGACGGGATCCGACGCCGAATTGGGGCAGTTTGACGACAGCGTCGACGTCAGCGGCCTGCCACGATCGACGAGCCGCTTTATTGAGAATCATAGAAACATCGATGCGCCGATACGCCGCGGCGCATACGCCTTCCACATTGGACGTTCATTGGCGTAATCGCGGTGATTGTCGGCGATCGCTTTATTACGAC